GTTCCTGGCAAATGTTTTGGATAGTGTGGATACAGACTCTGTACCGGAACGATTGAGAATTTTGCGGCCTTTCTACAAAGTGTACGTACGCTTGTCGATTACCTTAAGGATCATCTATCTGTATAGGATATGAGTGAGGGAAAATGACTGAACTGGGTACTAGCGGTGGTTGAGAACCACATTATTACACGAGCGCGAGCGCCAATACCACTGGGAAATGGTACTGGGATTATGGGATTGAAAAAGCGTGACGTACGCTCTTCGTGGCGTCAGACAAATTTTATGCTCTTGACGAAGGCTTAATTGCAGCACCTCGCGCTTCGCGCTCGGTGCAAACTAACTCCAGTATCGCTAAATCGGCTCACGTCTAGTTACGGAAATTATCGCATACTAAGGATGAATTCATATCTATTGCTCATAAAGCCAGCTTCAAAGGTCGCTTTAGTAGTCTGAACTAAGGCATGACACTCACGGATTTTGCTCTATAAAATGAACACATTATCCGTGGGATAACTCAACGCGACGCATTAACCGAACGCTAAAACGGGAAGACAGTTCAGAAGACTATTACATATGTCGGCATCAAAACGGTAAAAGGACTTGTACACCGGCGGATCGGTACGGTCCCTACGACAAAGCAAATTCGTGTTAGCTTATTGCTGTAAACTTTCTCTCAGATTGAATTTTTCTGTTCCAAATTCACGACAGTTATTCATACTATGTATTATTTCGAAGGCATCTGGCAGCTACCGAATCGTCCAACTTATCCTTGCAACATTCGGGCTCTGGGGAAAGTCGGCAGACGTTTTAAGGAAGAAACCGGCTAGAGGCTACAGTCGTCTGCCAGCTCCTAAATAAAAATGGTGAAACCGCTCGAGCCGGACTACTGAAATGTTCTGTACATCCGGTGCTGTCTAGGGACGTCTCACCAGACATCCGCAAAACCGCATCAGACGTCCACAACATTTTGAAACTGCTTACGGCATTCGCAGGAAACGGGCGACCGTTCGAAGCAGCTGCGAATTTAGCTGGTATGAGCGGGTCCAGCGTCGCGGGCCTTCTGCGACGAACTGACTGCCAATGGACTGTCGTTAAAGTCGTATCCATCGAAGGTCGCGTTACAGGATGCGTCTTTGACAACCGTCCATTCGCAGCTGACCAAACCGTATTAACCCCGGTCTTGTTCTTGCATCAGGAGCCGCTTAACGAGACTGGAGCCGGGTCGATAAACAATTTCAGCAAACGGCTAAATAGTACATACTGACTAACGAGGGAGATACCCGAACACGTCCGCGTCAGATCAGCATGCACTTGGTACCATTAGAATCCTTAGAATTTCAGCTATTTTCTTTGATAATCAAAATACCCCCAGATAAAGAACTCGAGTTCAGGGATCCCTGAGAAGCCAACACAGATAAGATGGCTGATTTCCATCGAAACGTCAGCAGACGCCATACAGAGCTATACGGCGCCTTGGTACGGATGCGAGATTGCGCAACCGTCTTTCAGCGACAAGTTCAATAGCGCTTTATCGATAGCTATCGCAGTTTTTTGACTCTGTAAGCGCATCAGCATCGACTGGCTCCGTACAGATCAATGCAACCGCGGATGCTGGTGCGCGCGACAGGGCAAAATAGGTGAGACAACTGTCAAAGATACCAGTACAGAAACTACAGATTGCAGCCAGACTATTCGTAGCGCATGGCGTAGCTAGGCTGGACATTGCGTATGGCGCCTGCTGACGTTTCGATGGAAGTCAGCCATCATATCTATGCTGGCTTCTCAGAGATCACTAAACTCGAGTTCTTTATCTGGGGGTGTTTTGATTCTCGAAGAAAATAGCTGAAATTCTAAGGATTCTGATGGTACCAAGTGTATGCTGATCTGACGCGGACGTGTTCGGGTATCTCCCTCGTAAGAACGAAGTACTTCTAAAAACCGATTAACAGTAATCAGGGCATATTTGAAAAAAGCATCACCACTGACACGGAGTAACTGCGCGACAGTATACTGGTGGTACTCGCACATCTTGGGCCATAGAGACTGTACTCTGTACAATGTGAATTCCGTAGTCCAAGAGGCGCGAGCCGCTACAGTATGTTGATTGTTAACATATAGCTATGGTCTGTGGATACTCGCTTGATGTACCATCCGTTCGCATTGTCGATCAGCTGACTTATCAGTAGCACAACGTGTCTGCGCCGAAAACTGTTGCCTGCTAGATATAGACCGCGGTTCGCGCTCCAAGAAAGATGCCGGCAAAAATAGAGATGTTGGCTGGTTTTTCAAGTAGCCACTCGGCAAACTGTCGACGCGATGGGCGGCACGATCGTCACCTGCCGTCGCATAGTGTAAATCAGGACGCGTGGCTTGCCGATTCAGCTGATTTCGAGAGGGGTATCATTTCGTGAGAAAATGACAATATCATGTCGGAGAATCGCCCAGGGTGCTAACCACGAAACCAGTCGACAATTTGTTGAGTGTTACTTGAAAAATCAACAGGCACATTTTTGTCGGCGTATGTTTTGGAGCGCGGTCCTGTTACACGGTGGTCTGTCTGTGCTCTGTGGTATTTGGCCAGGCAGTCGATCTCGGTGAAGACGTTATGTGTTCTTTGCCAACGTGGCGGATGGTACCTAAGGCAGGCACGGACAGTGCCAATTACCACAAATGCTTATCATAATCCTTACCACAATATTCAACTAACTGACTTTCTAGCGTTAGACATTTGAGGGCGGTAAACAGCACACTGCGAAAATTATGCGCTTTCCCCGTAATCATTTGGGCCTCGCGCTATAAGTCAGGCTCAATGGCAACGGAGATAGCGCCTGGTTGGCGGCGGTAAGTGACTTTTACGTGCCGTGCATTGCGATTGTCAAAACTATGGCTACTCGTGTGTATGATGAATATTCCGTTTCTGTGTTTGCACGTTAAAATACGTGTTTGCACGGCGTTCAGAAAGCAGCCACTTAACTATAATTACTGTGTGAAGTATGTAGAAAGTACGTAATAATAATAAGTAGCTGTAATAATACATGTTCACTGCAGCTGGCCAACAAGATGACTAAATCAGTAACAAGTAGAACAGTACGAGTACAGCAATAGAATTAAGATTACAACATGAGTTGCTAGGATGTACATTGTACAACATGTGCACAGAGTACAACAACAGGAATTCACGAGACACCACATACATATTGCCATGCTAAATTTAATTCTACAATGAATTATTTATGATAACAAAATTCAGTAATTGATAAATTCTTCGATGCTGGGATAAATAATTAAGTTTATACGATATCAATATTTGACGTGCATCAGGTATGTGGCGTATGCCACATTCACGCAACGCGTCAAGAGTGTGGCGCGAGTCTGTAATTATCGCTGTACATTTACCCAGAAAAGAAATTACTGTGCCTGTGCATGGTATGGCATGGTAGAGGCTGCTACGCTGAATTTGCCCAGCGTAGGAGCCTGTACCATGTCTGTGTCCAACCACACCTCGAGTACGGGTCGGATACGTGGTCACCGGCATCTTTGGCCTGCGCGGCAAACTGGCTAAAGCAGACAGCGGAGAGCACTCCCTGCGATTGCTGATTACAAGGAGCGGGTTACACCAGAGCTGTACCAGAAACTGCGTATCCTGCCGGTGTACGACCGTTGTGAAGCAGTCCCAAGAACTATGGTTGTCACTGTTATATGACATCAAAATTTATAACCAAAGGATTTGCATACATTCTACCGTCCACCCATCAAGTGATTACGGTTGTTCTTACTGCAGAACATTTGACGTGTATTGTACCATCCATGCCGAACGCATCTAACGCGTACACAGTGTGGCGTGGCGCTCCATAGGCTAAACCGCGAACTGGTATTTTGCGCTGTATCTACATACACTTTAATATTCGTCGGGCTTGTACATACAGAGCAGTACATACTATTATGCTACAGTATTATTAGTTCTACAACTTGATAGTAGAAGTACGTAAGGTAGAAGCAATGGCTTACATAACTCCCGTTTAACGTTTCCGTTAGGTTCGTGATGGCAAAGTTGGTATCAACCATGCCATCGTGAACCGTAGCGGAAGCGCTACGTTACGTAAACCGTAACACCGTTATACGTAAACCGTAACACCGTTAGCGTTGGATAACGGCGAAACACGTACAGGAAATGCAGTGAGAAACTGCGGCTGCTCGTTGTCCCTACTTAGATTTCAATACATTTGTTCTTTGTTCTATAATTTGCGACCGCGCCATTTGTGTACAGAGTCAAATATCAGTAAAAGCGTGCTTCAGTTTACATATACAATATATGGGACAATATACAGTGTTGGAAAGCTTAGCTACCGGTGCATCACCGTACCAATCGAGGCAGCGGTTTTCCTGTGTATTTCATAAACGCATCGCTTTACAGGTAGCTTGTCTGTCGGCAGATTTCTCATCGCTTTTGCAAACTGAAAAGGTATTCGTGATGTACCGCAAAAGCGGGACATTTTAAATTATTAATCCGGGTTCGTGAGCGGTGTGCATTGTTGCGGGTTTCCTGGCACGTTTTCGCGCGGGAAGGAATGTAAAATGTGTGTGTATCACTTCCGGTATCTGTTACGCAAAGACATGGCGCAGGAATGAACACCATCCCAACCAAAGCGGATGCTTGTTGTCTAAGCGGCTCATCATGTCGTGTCTGTCTGTTCTAACCAGCTTACCATGAGCGTAGCATGACCAGACATATCGGAAAGCTGCCCCTTCTATTTCTAAACCTGATTTTAGTTTTCATCCTTCTTCCGCTCGTACGGGACGTTCTAATTAAAATAAGCTGCGATTTGGTGCTTATCGATTTTGGTAACCGTAATCATAGCTGCTTTGTGACCTTTTCCGTGACCTTACACTTTTTTCCAACCTGAAGAGTCTTCAGCGCTCTCGAAACGGTGAATAAGCAATCCGAGTTGAGACGCTACAAGAGCATCGTTTTAATATCATTTCCTAATAAAACCGTGACCTTTCCGTATGACCGTTTTGATGCAGCAACGTTTCCATCAGCAAAACACTTAGCGAGTATATTCACACAAGCACAACGCTTTAGTAAAATCAGCAAAAAAAACCGAAAGCCGGCAATCACAACTGCGACTGTGTACTTCCGAAGATGAGACTATTCATTTTATTGCAGAGTAATGAGAAACTAATGAAACAAATGCGGGACAGGATGAACGCGGTTTATTTGCCGAGGAACTCATTGGGTTCCGGCGGCTCGTCGAGGGCGTAGGCGTAGCGCTTGTTGACGAGCATGGGGGGCACGCGCAGTCCCTCCAGGTAGGCGCGGCGCAGAGCGGCCGGCCAGCGGTAGCGCAGCGCCGGATGCAGGCCGTACAGGCGGTTGGTGTCGCGCTTCACGGCCTCCACCATCCACAGTCCCGCGGCGTCCTGCGGCTCTGTAAGACAACATAACAGCGGTCTCATTTACACCGGTCTGCCAATCCATTACCGTTTAATTCAATATCACGCAGTTCGTGCGGAGGCGGCTTGAATAGCGTATTGTGCCTGGCGCACCGCCACCGCAGGGGATCGGTCCGGCGAAAATAAACCGCTGACGCAATGCACTGCGCAAATATGCCGGTGTATCGCTTTTCAACAATCGGTATATACGTAATATTTTTGGGAGATTAGTTCGTGTTTGCGTTGTATTTCCGGGTAATAAATTTTAGCGAAATAAATAATATTTTTATTTAGAGCGGATGTTATCTAAGCGGTTCACCGTATTTTTGACAAGCTGCTCTAAACGCGAGCGCAGCATGACTGCGATTTTTAATTTAAATCAAACTGCGGTGCATTTTTTTGCGTACTAGAAAATCCTAACATACAGAGCAACGACAACGACATCTTTATTCCCCCAGATTTCTTCTGGCAGGGGCACTTCTGGAGTACAGATATATCACATAAGAAACTGCGCCTGTGTATTTTGCTAACTGGTGTGTTTTTCCATTCCGGCAAGCGCAGTCATACCTGTTTCTGCATCATCCTTAAATATACATGGGAATACACCAATTAACATAATAATATACACATACATATACACATTAATTAATATGCATATACACATTAATATGCATATATACACACTAATATATACATATAATATACACACTAATTAATGAACACATTAATATACATATACAAATTATTATACATATACACATTAATACATATATAACAACATAATAATATACACTGAAATATACACAGATATACATAACACGCATATACATAACAATATACACATCAATTTTATGATCAGGAACTTTTATGTTAATATTTTGTTAATGAATAATTTTTTTATAGTTTATTTTTATAATTTTAAAATTTATTTTATAATTTTATGACTAGCTCTCATAGCAGTCAACTCTGTGCTGGTAGAAAATATTTGAATGCAAACATACGATTGGTTACATTTATAAAGTAATACATAAGGTAACATGACTGATACACAGTCGGTCTTTACAATTATTTAACGCGTGAATACTAAATATTTGTTTGGTATTTGCGCAGCTGGATTAATATTTCGCCGGCCTAAATCACAGCTCCCCCTTTCGAAGAGAAACGGCCGCGTTCGTTAAGCGTGAATAACTGCATTAATTTCTTTCAAAAAGACCATTGCCTACACACTCGTAATCTGATGCTTCGCTGCCTTATACCTCCCGCCACAACCGGTGATCAATTCAATTTTATTCAGTTTTATTCCCACCTGTACGCTGCTTCAACAAAAACTGACCTTTCGCAACCAGCACACCGAACGTCGCTCAGCCCTGTCGGCAGTAAGCGGACATTAAGAGATTAACGCCGCGACAAAAAGCGCCTTATACCGTCTTTCGCTGTCGTTGGCTGGATCACCATTTTTACCGCGATCAGTCGCACCTTTTTACCGGCTGGCTGACTACTTAGTGTGCATTAGGGGAATAGCATATCTTTCCTGGGGAAAACAAGCGCCTGGTTGTTGCAGAAAGGGGTGTGGTTGATGGGAGATGTAGATAGATAATGTACGTTATATACACAATCAGTTAAATATAAATTTTATATAAGGAAGAGGTGTTCCCGGGATATCGCGACGGAAGACAGAAGATATGCGTCGATAATATTGTTCAGTATTGAAAGATATTAACCGGCACGTGGAGACTCATTACGTCGGCGTTGGCTGGTCAACGCCCCAAAATTAATTTACTTCCTGTGTACTGGAATTATCCGTAATGCAGAGGGAAGCGATTACTAGTGCATCCACGCCTTGTATAATCGCGGTATTTTAATTTTACTCATATTTTTGATTTCACTTATATTTTAAGTAGACTTTTCGAAAATTGGTCACACGTTAAAATCTCGTGACAAAATATAACACGTCTTATCGTTGGCATAAGTGCAATCCGATGTAAAAAATTAGCCTTCAAAATCTGAAGGTAATCCTGTTAAGTAATTGATGCAATATTAATTTCTTTTGCGCATAGCCGGTGTACATTGAATTAATTAAATTATCACATCCGAAGGCGGATCACGTTTTCTTGAAGCTTACCCATAAAGTTTCTGTAACTTCAGTAAGCTGGACATGTGGTACCATGCCAGGCAAACTGGCATATAATTTTTTGAAAACACTTCACACAAGTCAACTGCCAAAAATATTTTACTACCTGTTAAAAATTTGAAATGTTTTAATCAGTTTCTACTCGCGTAGGCTATTGTTATATGAACTGGCTACTGTCGAATTAAATATATTGTGAATTTACCGGTAAGCAAAGTGCATACAGAATTATGGACTTCAGGTCATAATAATATAACACCAGCATCCATTCGGAAAAACAACGTTAAATACCGGTTTACACGGTACATGTACATACGGTTATTTGCAGATTACAGTACATACTACTTCGTAAATATCGGTATGGCTTTAAAATAGACATTTCGTAATAATTATCGCGACAACCCAAACGCTACTGTATAGTTTATACAAAATAATAAGAAAAGAAAAACAATAGAAATACGTACGTAACTTTTTACTTTATGTTCAAAGCAGTGGTGTGTGGTTGTAGCCGTGAGAAGTTACGAATGGACCCACTTAATCAGGATGAATTCGGCTAGAGAACTACGTTCTTACCGGCGCTATCATTGGCCTCCACATCGGCGTCCACCGGCAGCGCCTCCACCGTCGTCCACGTGACCAGCAGGACGCCGGCCAGCAGTCCCGCACCGACCAGCTTCACCAACATATCCGCTGGAATTATACCGCTAATCACACCGATAACCAGCAACGCCAGACAAATTCTTATAAAGACGGTTAAGCGCAGCGTGATCTCCGTCGTTTCCGCGAGCTGCGATGGAAGAGCAAATGGCAGCGCTGTATGCCGGTAACCCGGGCTCTTTAAATGGCGCCCGGCTTCGCGGCCGTTCCCGGCCGCGCGTCTCCCACTCGCTGCAGCTTGACGTAAACTCTACCGTACCTTCCACTGTCGCTACCTGTACGTCGGAGGAACCTGTGTATTATGTACAACTGCAGCTGTCCAAGTTTCCGTGGTCGATAATCACATTATTATACGCGACGCCGGTTGCAGCAGCTGGAAGCGCATCGCGCAGTTGGCTACAAATTTAAGCGATTTTACCGCGTAGTTTTCGAGATCTAATATGCCGGTTTCAAATACACAAACTTGGTAACTTTTCAGGGTCAAATTTTTTTGCAAACCGTTTTTCTGATTTGAACTCAGCGCATCAAATTACGTCTAAGTTTCCAGTTGTAAGCGATTTTACCGTGTAGTTTTCGAGATCTGAAAAACATGTCCAGTTGCCGGTTACCGGCAGTCAACGCCACAAGAAAAATCAACCGAAAAAACTGAACAAATCCTACGAAAAATAATACTTTTTGTTACATTTTTTTCAGTGTAGTGTTACAAATTAGACTAGCCAGCAGACCGATAACACGCACCCATGGTTTGCCAACTGCCGCTGTTCTACGAAATTCGGTACTCTAAACAGCACAAAAGCGGCATAACAATCCGCGGGTAACGATTACAGCGTTTACTCGAAACTGGCATAAAATTACCAGATTAAACAGGCTCGTTATCCTTTACTGTTGAATTACTGAGTAATTTAATACTTATTCGGTAGAATAAATTATTATTAATTACAGAGAATAATTTGGATACATTACACAGTTAAATATTAACCAAAAATTTGAAAGAAACCGGCAAGCGCCTACTCAAAGGTCACGAATGATACTAACGATCCTGGGTATTTTTTCTAATATTTTAAAATTTAATCATTTTATTTAGTGTAAATCTGCGCCGGCGCATTGATGTATGTACTGGCTGATGCCGAATAAAGCAGTCAAGCGTTCAACGTTCGCAGGTGTTCAATCTCACGAGGTGTCCCGGTACAATCGAGTAGAGTACATACAGCGTTACAGGTACAGCGCCGGTGGGAGTCCCGGTTGACGCGCTGGTGCACCGGGGAGCAGTTGGCCCTGTCAGCGCCCTTTCACGTGCACCCGGGACACTGCAATTCCCCGGTCGACGCTGTAAAGTGCCTTTTTCTACACACTCCACTGCAGCGTCATGCCCAGAGTATACCCCGTGTTAAGTGGATGGCACCGGTGTATTTAGCAACCGGCAACAAACACCCGGCTAATAAACCGTGTCGTCTATTGTCTGACTGCCTTATAAACTGGCGTGTATAGGTAAAAATAAATTGATGGATGGTGCGCGCATCAATTGGCCGGATTAGCCCAGAAAATTCCGCGATCAACGTAATGGAGAATGTTTACCACCTTTTCCCCTCATTAACAATATGTTTTTTTTTATACCAGAATACAGTAGCCAGGGATTTTAAGCAGAATACAGTACATCTCGGTAGGTTTTAATGCTGCAGACTATTAATTATGGTACTAGTACATTTTTGCTTTACACATACATGTATATAGAAGAATATGGTGTATAAAAATATGTAATTAACGAAGAGTATTTCTATGCGACTCAAAAACAAACTAAATGTTAATTACGGTATGTCTTCTTTGAAAACAGGTGCAGTAATTTTGTACAGTGTCAAAATAATGGCATACATCTCGCACACGCCATTTAAATTCAAAAAATTGTAAAATTTTATCACACGGTAAACTAAACGTACTTCTCTCTCAATCAATGTCTTGGAATTAAATTTATGTACAAGTATTTAATTATGTATGCATTTCAATGTAACCGAGAAATTAACATGTTCGAACCACTGAACACGTTAAATGCAATCGATAAGTCTGCGCCCCGATACGTTGTGTGGTGGTTGCGTAGTGTAAAGGCTTCCGATAAAGAAACTGGTACAATATCTACATCGAATAGTTTTCTCGATCTGCCTTAAACGTACATACAAATGTCCATAATTATGAAAAAAATATTTTTGCGACTAGCATATTCTTGTCAACAAAACAGCACTCTTTTACATTTCTGCGTAAATTAATGTATAAATAAATTTATTTTTATTGTTTATTCCTTAATTTCAATAATTTACTGCGTTTATTTCATTTTTAATTTGGTTACCGTTAGTACTTCTATACGTATTGCGGTGTATTGACATTCACAGCGCGCAGGAGAATTAGACATGTAATACGGCGAACAATCCGAGTGACCTTTACCATTATTCCCTTATGCCGCCGTATATGTGACGCACATTTCGCACTACTTAAACACTTCCCTTAAACCAACGTTTCCTGCACCGGTTAATCGTGGTAATTAACTTTCGTGTGAATTTCTCCCGTGTAAAGTTTTTCCACAGAATTCCCACCGGGAATCACGGCAAATAAATGCAAATAATCCAATCCGCTGCCGTGCGCACGCCGACGCCATCGCGAACATTCCCGACACTATCGCGTCGTCCAACGGTAACCGGATCGCGTACGGATGACCTTTATTTCACCTACAAAACCCCCGCGTTTCCGTTGCGTTTGGTATACATTTTTGTATATATATTTCCGCATTGGTTAATAATTATTCTTCGCGATGCAGTGGTATTGTGTGATTGTATTCTGCATCACGTGCACACTGGCCCAGCGGCCGGAAGGGGATTCCGGCGCGCCACTGGACGCCGGCATGGAGAAACGCGGTAGGTGGTGCAGCGGGACACTGTGTTTTTGTCTACTGTACAATAATATTAAATGTCCTTGCCGCGGGTCAAAAGCGGGTATTTTTGGGAAGAATTTCTAAAATGTCAAGGCGATTTTATATCACGGAAATTTGCTCTGGAAACTCTGTGACGCATGTATTGCGTTATGACATTTTCGGAATTCGGTCTACGATTCAAAAGTGCATATGTATTTTTAATCCGCAGCGTTCAAAATCCGGTAAATTTAATCAGAGATCAATTACAAGCAGTCTGTATATGCTCTGCACGTCGATTCGTTGAACACATTCAACCGTAATTTTATAAGAATTATCATTATATAGTAAAATGTTTAACGTATTGCACAGCAAAATCTTTTTCCAGAATTTGTTGCATTTATAATAATTATGATAAGCCTTCATATTTCTTATTTATTGTATTTATATATTTATTGCTATTTGTAATATATTACTTTTTTATTGCATTTATTTTAATTTATTTGATTAACAGGTTTATGCGTGCGGTTTTGTTCAGGCACAAATATTATAAATTTTCGTAATTCATCGCCTGCATTTTTATTATTACGGGTAAAATATAATTTCAGTCCGCTGTACAGTAATAATGTTAGCTTAGTCAAGGAATATTTTTTTGCAATATACAGGCATATAAATAAGTTTTAATCGCACCGCGTGACAGCCAAATAGGTCATTTCCGCTTCGTATTACGTTGCCAAACAGAGTACACTGGCCGATTTTCAGCTTGACTAAACACGCTAAATTAACGCCCGGGATTTTTCCCGGCAGTGCCCAGTAATAAATAAAATTAGATTAAAATCAAGGATGTTAGCAGGCTTCCGGGCGCGTCTGCCGGAGCCGCCGCGGGCCCGCGAGCTGTTCCGCAAGTCGGATTCGGTGATTCTGCGACTACTTTTCGGCGGCGGCGGGATTGCCGGCGGGATGCAGCCGGGACTGCTGAAGAGTCTGCGCGTGGCCGGACAGAAACGCGACCAGCTGACCGACGCCGACAACGCCGATGTGCAAATGTTCCGTCTCGACCAGCCGGAACCCAGTGAATTCCTCGGCCGCTGAACCAACCGGACGCCCGAATTTACTATGCATTTATATATATACAAGAAATTTAGTTATAACATTGATTAATTACGTTTTCGTTGGGTGGATACATCGACAATCAGTTTTATCCGAAATTCTTGATCAGTGGGGGTGATTTGTAATTACTGTGCAAATAGTGGATTTCGTAGTGTAAAGGCTCCCGGAATGTCACTAGGGAGTTTGAATTGGGTGCCTCAGGCGATTCGCCGAATTGGCAGATGTTATAATTATAATTATTAATATTATTTTGAGCAGTGTATTGACACGATGACGTATTTTTTTGAGTGTAATTCATTTTTAATTTTTTTCTGGAAAATCAATATGATCTGATACTGGCATAAATATTTTAGATAAATAACCAAGTAGAATAATTTAGCAAAAACAACTCACCTATAAAATACAAATGCATTGTAATAATACAATTTTTCAAATTAGATACTAACTAAACAAATTAGCAAAAATTCAACAGACGACAACAAAATTAATTAGATTTAAGAAAACGATTTTAAAAGAAATAAATATCTGCTGACTGGAAAGCAGAGAAAACCACTCATTGTAAATTAAGTAAATAACTAATTAAATCTCCAAATATTCAGTAAAATAGATAAACTACAAAATATACAAAAATTTTAGGAAAATAATTTCTAAAAAAGTAGAATAAATTTTTACAATGATTTGCAGACTGCAGCGCGACCCGGCAAAAATAAAACTTCATTTATTCATCAATATCCGAGCATCCAAAAAAATTTTGCCCACATTCCTAACACGATAACAGAATAAAAAACAAAAAAAAATTACGCATTACCATTTTCAACAAGAGAGAGAAAAAATTCCCGAAAATTCCATCTTTTTGGTCTGTAACAAATATTCCAAAAAATCAAATCGTACGTGCCGTTTTGTACAAAAAAAAATCAGATTTCCGCATTGATCCACATCCCGGGGCGGTCAGACCGTCGTCACGGTCAACCCGGCATCTTTTTCCGCTTCGCTCGTTGCCTCTCGCTTCGCCGCCCCGTTCAGCGGCGCAAACCGCGGCCGGAACGTCGTCACCTCCGCGGCGCGCATCTTCGGCAGCGTCGCACTGACCCCCGCCAACACCGAGCCCCAGACGCGCGCCCCGGGGGCGGCGGCGCGCTCCGACAGCGTCGGGGATTTCATTTCGCGCGGCGGGGGCGGCGGCTCGGGTTTCTTCTCTTTCCCGCGCCAGAGTGAGGCGATTTTGCTGGAGACGGTGGATTTCTTCGGGGGGTGCGGTTTGGGGGCGACGCTGGGGGTGGGCGGGGGGAAGGAGCTGCTGGAGAGGTCGGGAGGGGGCGGCGGGGGGATGGTGATGACGTCGTGGCCTGGGAAGGAGTTGGATTTGGGGTGGGGGTAGCGCGAGGGCCGGGGGCTAGGGGTGGAGGTCAACTTCCGGGGGGAGGAGGTTGGTAAGGGGTCGCGGTGGGGCGGACCGCGGACGGAACTGCCGTAGCGTTTCCGCTGCAAACAAATTTAATTAAATTTATTTTAAATTCCGCCGCAATAAATTCCAGTCAAATAAATAACGAATTAAAGGAAATCTAGTTGGGCGACTGTAAATCTTCCAATCGGCTTTCTTCAGACTGTCTAATTTTGTCTAGTTTACATTTAAATTAATCTCGTATAACAAAATATCTGTGCTGAGACGATCTACAGATGAATGAAAATCAAATTAAATTTTTTTAACCCTGCTGTTTTTAGAGCTGGCTAATAAAATTACCCGTTATCTTTAATTTTTAAGCGATTTTAAATTTTCCGATCGGCTTCTTTTCAGTAGGTAACTTTTATCTAATTTTATTTTAGGTTCCTATGAATTCGTAGAATGAAAATAATTTTTCTGAAATTAATTACACACAAAACAAATTAAATTCGTAAAAAATTTTTAAACCAGCTGTATTTCAATTAGAGAAGCCCATTAAAATTACCCGTTGCCTTGAATTATACAATTGAATTCAAATTTTTAAATTGCCTTCTCCAGTAAGAAAAATAAGCGAAGGACCAAATTAATTTTACCCAAATTAATCACGAAAAAGAAATAAATGCTTAATTAATCGATTCTAAATTGGAAAATCTGTAATTATACCGGCTTTTAATATAAATTATACCGGCTTTTTAAACATAAAAAATTCATAAAAATAATATGAATTAAAATAGGATAAAAGATTTGTTTATTTACTGTCCGCTTGATAAATCTGACTATGAGGAAGCATGGTTTCTACCACTACTCTAGTAATTTAGGGCAAATTAAGGAATTCCAAAAAACCGACCGATGGTCACGCTAAAAAACTACACGCACTTTCAGAACAAAAAAAAGGGTATTTTCAGTACACCACATTCTACATGCACAATTAGGTACGACTGTTTTTCAGTCAGCTGTCGTAAGTGTGACAGCAATTTTCAATGAGCTAAAGCCACTATACTACTAAATTTAACAACTCTTAACAGCGATCGCCGGCTCGTATAACACAGGAATCTCCTATGCCGCGCTTCCCATGTGATTTCACTGCAGTACAGTACTCAGTTTTTCGCAGTTGATATGCTTGTTCCTTACGTTGGGCGATCCGCCGACATCCGGCAAGATGACCGGCACCATCCCGCTGGGCCGGTCCTTGGTGAACGTTCCCTGCTTGACGATGCGCATGGGCGCCGCCTCCTCCATGCTGTCCGACGCCGGACCCTGCGAGCTCTCGGCCGAATGCGTGATCACCAGTCCGCCGCCACGAATACTCGGCGGCTTCAAACCTGCTACCGAAAAAATGAAAAACATTAGTTACCAATAAATCACATAAAAATTACGTGCAAAATTCGCAATAATCCAAATGATTTTTTAAATAAATGTTCCATAAAAGCAGGCAGTACTGTAATATTCATCAATATTTTTGAATAATAAAATTTCTGAAAAATACAGAAAAATTCGCCGTACCCGTGGGAAGCGCCGGCACCCCGCTCTTTTTCATCCGGCCCTTCTCCGCCTTCTTCCCGCCGCCATCCACACTCCCGCCACTCGACCGGACCGGCTTGACAATCCGCGGCCGTCTCCCGGCCTCCTCCTTGTCCCCCTCCTCCTCGGACGTGAACCGCGACTCCACGGCGCACTCCCGGCGTCCATCCAACAAATCCCCGAGATCCGGCGAACTCCCGTCCCTCCCCCCGTTCACCTCCTCCTCCCCATCCAACGGGGACGTCGCCTCATCCCTTTTTAATTCCAACCGCAACCCGGCGCGATCCCCGACGGATTTGGACCGCAGCATCCCGCTCTGACTGGCCGGAGGGTCTCCGGCGGGGCTCCCGGACCCCGGAGGTGTCCAGCGGGACTCCCGGATCCTGGAGGGTGTCCGGCGGGACTTCCGGCGCCTCCCTCGCTGGCGGTGCGTTTCATGGCGTCCTCGATGCGGCGGTGGCGCGAGGAGGTCTTCCCGGCGGCCGCTAAACGGGGATTCGGGGGTTTCGGGCGGCGTTTCTTGTCCGTTTTGACCGGGTGCACTGGTTTGCGGACGGGCATGGCGGCGTAGATGCAGTCGGCTAAGAGTTTGTTGTCGTCCTCCACGACCGTCGAGGTGGACGCCGTCGGCTCGGGGCGGGGCTCCGGGACGACGGAGACCTCCCGCGGGAGTTCCGCTGTCTCCGCGATGGGTTCCAAGGGTTTTTTCTCGACGGAGGGGCTTTTTTCCTTGACCTTCTTCTTCCCGTCGGCTTTCTCCTCCTTCTGACCATTTTCTTTTAATTTTTCTTCGGTTTTCGGGGAGACCTCGCTGTATCCTTCATCTTCCACTTTTTCCGTCGTCTCCTTCAAGTAAAATTGTATTAAAACTAATTTATTTCAAATTTTAATTGTTTCAATCTGGGAAAATGCTTTTATTTCGGTTTCTGCTGCCGGTCTTTTTTGAAAAAATTCGAATAAATGTTTCGCTGATCATCTTGGCATGCGTGAACGGAGAATCGTAGTCTTGTGGCTTGGGTAAAACGAAATTAGTAAGAAAGCATTCAGCCGACCCGATTAAAAAATACTGCAGTGTGTAATGTGTATGAACATTTTCTTTTTTATCGAAATACGAAATTACTTGAACTTTCAAAATTCTCAATAATATTAATAACACAGTGCCGTAGCTAGTAAAGGAGTGTCGTTGTGTTTCTCATCGGAAAATCGAACTCATGCCGCCTACGAAATCAACAGAACACGTACGGGCAATAAAAAATGGCAACGTCTTAAAAGAAACGGCGTGAAAATCAGTAGGGAGATTTTGAGATTTTGATCCCCTTCAAAATTACGGTTAAATTTCTTTGATGATAAATTATTGTGGAAAATATACTGTGGTGGTCAGACGATAAGTGTCGTCGTAATTGTCAACGGATAATCGTAGCAATGTGGCTTCCAAAGGGAAAACTTGAACAGACAGAAGTTTCCCCAGAAAAAAATATTACCACAAAAAATATCGAGTTTATTCTACTTCCGTTGCATCATATCATCAGCAACATTTTTTGACCGAATTAACTAGATATCGGTTTCCCAATTTTGGAGAAAAAAATCCTGTTAACCATTTAATTTACCTTAATTATCTGATTAATTTTAGTTGGCATTTTAGTTGCCATCGGCATCAACTAAATTAAAATGACAGAACTTTTTTCACCGAAATTCCCATATTTTTTAATTAGGCACGAAATTCCCATATTTTTGAAAAATAAAATTTAATAATCATTTCCATTTAACTTAATTATTTTAGGTACTAAGAATTATTTTATTTACCATTAACGAATTAACAACACATTTTTACAGAAGTAAACCGATTTTAACCCGCCTATTTCTGTCAAATAAATTTAATTATTTTTTACCTTTATCGGATTTTCTTCTTCTTCCGGTTTCTTCTCCACAACCACCACCGGCTCTTCCACTTTGCCCGGCGTCTCCGCTTTGGCCTTCTTCTCATTAACCGAATTCATCAGCAGCGCGAAACTACTGGCCACATTAAACCCGCCCGTCTCCTTGTCCTTCTCCACAATCTTCCCGTTTTTCTCCGCTTCCGGCGAGCAGCGCTCCCCGTTGACCAGCGGACTGCTCTCCGCGTCGACGATGGCTTTGCGTTCCGCCACCTTCTTCTTCAGCTCCGCGAAGCCCTCCAGCACATTAAACTGCGCCGGTTTCCGTTCCTCCTCCTCTTTTTTCTCGGCGACGGGGGGCGAGGGTTCGGGGCGCCGGCGGAGGGGGCGGGGCGCAGCGGGGTGGAGGTCTGTTGGTCGGTGAGGTGGCGGGCGAAATTCATATAGGCGGCGTCGCTGCCGTTGGGCAGCGGGGGGTGCGGGGCGCCCGCGGCGGGGGCCGGGGGTTTGGGGGGTGGGTGGGTGGCCACCAGGCACGAGGAGACGATACTGCTCAGCGACGTGGCTTTCGATAAGCCTGCCAATAAAGAAAAACACTCTAGAAATATAAACACAATAATTGCACACGATACTGACAGGACAAACGGCAGAATAAATATTTCTCCGACACAATATACAGTATTTTAAGTATACATATTTAAACGATTATCAAACAGTCAAATAAAAAAATATTCATGTACAAAATATTCAACAGAAAGGAAAAATTTATGCAATACAAAGTGTTCATCCAACGCAAAGAAAGGCGCTGATTATTCATTATGCACGGTCACTACCATACGCGTGTAAGTAAGAACCACTACACTACACTACGTTCCCTATCTACCGCCAGCTTGCACAAGTAAGGCTTGAATTTGGAAGCAATCGTATACGATTTTCTCGCAGTTTCAGAAGATCATTTTTTCACAGGTTAACTAGTTAATTTTTAAACAATAGTGTCTGGTTGTAACCGTTAAAAATTGAGAAAGAAATTCTTCAGAAAAAGGAAAAACTGGTACAATATAAATTACGAAAATTTTCTCAATGATTTTAAATGATTTCGAAAAAGAAGAACATTATTTTGATAATATCAGTTAAATGTGCAGTAAACTAAGAAATGTATTTACAAACCGGCATTTTTTCCACAAGGATTTGTACCACCTTTCAATTTAAACCTCATAAAATCTCATTCAACAAATACCTCATCAAAAAGTTTATATTAATTTTGGCAGAAGATTTATCCGTCTCTTAAACAGTTACCGTTTACAACAGAATTTCTGCTGCACGGTTTCCAATAAAAATTCCGAAATCGCAGTTTGAAAAATGTATGTCATACAATGTAAATAAAATTAATTTCTGCGGGTAATTTATCGATTCGGTAAATATGTACTTTTAACACGATTTTCTGCATCACTTTTTTAATCTACAAGATCTAAAAATCCCAGTTAATAAAGACATAAAATCAGAATAATTTGGTGGGTAATTTATCCAACTCCTTAAAAAATACTTTTCAACAGAATTTTCTGAGTACTTTTCTAATTTAAAGTTTTTAAAAACCGCAGCCAAAAAATCCAGGATAAAATCCTGAAAATCGCAGCCTAAAATTATAAAAATTTTTAATAATTTAAATAATTTTTAAAAATCGCAGCCAAAAAATCCAGGATAAAATCCTGAAAATCGCAGCCAAAAAATTTAAAAAATTGTAATAATTTAAATAATTTTTAAAAATCGCAGCCAAAAAATCCAGGATAAAATCTAATTAAAATAATTCTTCTGTTAATTTCTCCAGCTTTTTTTGTCCTCACCCTTACCTTCATCCTTATAGACAACCGGCTTCTCCTCCACCCCGTCCTCCTTAAACCCCGCCTCCGCCCTCCCGCCCGGCCGCTCCACGGGCGGGGTGGGCAGCATCCTCCGCCTTCCCGTCCTGGCCCGCGGCGACCGGTTCATCAAGCTGGGCGACGGCGGGATCTCATCAAAGAACGCATCCCGCTCCATCTCCGTCATGAGATTATTCGGCGACATGGTCCCGCTCGCCACGCAACTGTTATACTCCGTCGCGTCCTCCCCGCCACGGATCGCCGGGGTGGGCACGTCCGGCCCCGAATCGGGACTGGAGCCCCGCGAGCCCACCGTGGAGATGGCGGTGGTGTGCAGGACGCTGCGCAGCGGGGTGCCGGCGGTCCCGGGGCGGGGTTTGGGGGTGCGCTCGGTGCTGAAGCGGGTGACGGTCTCCGGGGCGCTATAGTCGTCCAGCTGGCGCGGTTGTTTGCGGGTAAAGTCCACGAACTCGTCGCAGGTGCCGGGCACGTCCAGGTCGCTGGGCTCGTCGGCGTCGTACAGGGTGGCGGGGTGGGCGGGGGCCACGGGGCTGGTGGGTGGGGAGGGCTGCGTCTCACCACCGGCTACCTATAAATTTTTAAAAATTTGTTCACTAGAAAATTTACCATTCTAGAATTTTTCTGTAATTTGTTTGCAGCAATTTCTTCCATCAAATAATTCGAAGTCAAGGTTTTTTGAATGTTTTTCACCCGGGGTTGTAGGCGTCCGTGATTTGCATTTATTTATTTTCCTGAATTTGCCTAATTTTTCCAATCCATATTTATTTTGTTTTAATTTTTCTCACTTTCAGCAAAAAAATAATTTTAACTTATTTCTAACGATCATCCCAAAAATGTTATATATTTTATTCACTATCCGTGCAGAGTTTCTCTATTCCGGACGTTCTTATTAATTTCGCACCTATTTTCTTCGCGTTTCTATGTTCTATGCGAGAAATAATTTTGGAAAAAATATCTTAAAACACAGAGTAACAAATTCTGTATGATCACAAGGAACAATATATAGCCATAATATGCAAGCGATGCTGATTTATGTAAAGCCAATATACTACGAAACCGCACAGTCGCACACTAAGGTCTGTCCTTATCATAACTGCAAAATAAACTTTCCAATTCACCATAAATTCCCTCGCTTTTTCAAAAAATTCAGTAACATCTGAGCTTAGCTATTTTCTTATTAGGATTTCTTGTTCATTAGTTTTTTAATTAGGTATTTTACTAGACCTTATTTGGGAGTTGTAATTTATTCGGCAGAAATCTGTACCAATCGTGTCCTGTCGGCTGTCGCGCAGTATTATTATACGAGCACTATTTTTTTAAATTTATTTTATTAATTGAATTATCTATCTACTCGATAGTATTTTTTAATTTATTTTCTTGCAACCGACTTTTTCGGGAACTATTAATTTTATCCTACTAGACGAATCTTTGTCGTTACCTGTCGCGCAATATAATCCACGAGATTTATCACAGGCCTATTATTTCTTATTAATATTAATATTTAAATCACCTACGCATTTTCTCGTTACCGTTTTATTAACATATTTTATTTTCATAGACATGTTGGAGATTTTTAAAAAAACTAATTCAAGAAACTTCCGTCAGCTACCTGTCTGGCAATATTATCCACGAGATTCATCATGGGCCGCGGCTGCTGCTGTTGCGGCGGCGGGACATCCGGTCTCCTAAACCGGTGAAAATCCCGCAACGAGCGATTGGCCGGATGCCCCCTCTCCTGGCGCGCCACCAGCGGACTGCTGGGCACGGAGGCATGCGACTGCAGGCTGCGCGTGCGGCCGCCCTCCCCGCGGACGGCGGCCATCAGGTGGCGGAAGGCGCGGCCGCTGCCCTCGGCGATGGCCGGGTATTTGGATGTGGACAGGGTTTGCAGCAGCGTCACGGCGCCGACATCCCACAGATGCTGCTGATCTTCCAGACTGCGACTGCTCAACACCCAGATGATGCGCACCGCGTTGCTCACCCAGCCCAGGTGCGGGGAGCGCAGGTGCTCCACGAGGATGTCCAGACACTGGTGGTCCCGTAGAATCTACAGGAAATACGCAAATTAATAAAATAAAATTAGGAAGAAAATTAAGAAAAAATTATGAATAACAAAATTTTACAAAAATAAAATTACGAAAAAATTTGTAAATATTTTGTTTAATTTTGAAAATAATGTAGACGATATTCAGATATTCGGAGGTTGTTTCGCTAATCCCGAGAAATTCACAAGTAGATCAGCAATAAAATAAAATTAAAGAACATTATGTGCAAATATTTTATTTAACTGTGAAAATATATATATATATACATATATATGTAGATAATAATAAATATATAATTTTCACAGGTCCGGTATTATTTCGAGAAATCTAAGAAATAACCGAGAGAATAAATCCCCTGAAATATGAACAGCATTAAAAATTCAGAAAAAGCTTTGCAAATATTAATATGTGCGTGCATTATTTAAAGAAAACATGTAAGAAAAAATGGGGAATAATTCAGCGGATGTGTTACGAACCTGTCGATAATCTTCGCGGTGAGCAATAATCTTGGACAACCGGTAGAGCACGGAGCCGGCGTTCTCCGGGACGTCGAGTTTATCCGTGGCGGGTTTGTGCTTGAGCAGGCCGACCAGCCGCGCCAGTGCGCCCTCGTAGGCGCACATGTCGTTCTTGTTCTCGTCGCAGTGCGCCGACAGATTGTTCAGCGCGCACAGCATCGACACCAGGTGGTTCTCCGCCTGCTCCGCCTTCATCAGCGCCCGCAACAACGCCGGCACAATCTACAGCACACCGGATGGAAAAGCATCCATAATCAGAAAAATCCCCTAAATTCTCCGGCATTTTTTTCTCCCAATAGCCAGTTAACAACGAGAATGCAAATTTAATTTCTTATCAAAAATTACTTTATTTTTTAATTTACTCCATTAATTAATTGCTCCAAATACGAACTTATATCCGGGGATATCGGGGTTCTTCCTGGTCAAAAATCAGTTGATGCTTTTTTTGAAAAAAAAAATCCTTTAAAAATATTAGGAAAAAATATTATTTAATTTAATAATATACAATTTATTTACTATAAAACCGGCAAAATAAGAAACGAAAACGGTAACGATAAACCTACAATAAAAGGTAAAAATTACTGCTCTTGCTCAAAGAAACAATAAATTAATAATCCATCAAATAAAAGGGAATTAATTCCATATAAATTCGTAAAAATTCAATTATATAATAACGGCCGTGCCACATTCCCCGCTGCCCACCTTGGCCTCGCGCAGTTTCTCCTGGCTGTGGACGTCGGCCTTCCAGCTGAGATTGCGCACCACGGCGGCGGTCTTGCCGCGGAGATCCTCCGGGCCGCCGGTCAGCAGGAGCGCCAGGACGTCCAGGAAGCGGCGCGACGTGCACAGCACCGCCTTCTTGATCCCGTCGCCGCAGGTGACGTTGGTCAAAATTAAACAAGCGTATTTGCGGATGTTGGCGTGGTAGCGGGACGTGGTGTGGTCGTAGCGCTCAAAGTTGACCGTCAGCACCTCCGCCACGGCCTGCACGCCGCCTAAATAGGAGAAGGTGTGCCGGTAGTCCGCCTCGAAGGTCTTCTCGCACAGGGCGCTCAACGCCGGGACGGGGAAGGCATCCGGGAGGTCCTCCTCGTCTGTAATTATGCCGGATGAAAATAACGATCATTTGTATTTGTAGCAATTTAATCGTTAAAATTAAAAAAATCCTTTTGATAAAATTTTTTTGATAAATAAAAAGAAAACCCGGCAGGTCTCCCTCGTCTATAAGATTGCCGGATTGGAAACAACGATAATTTGCAGCAATTTAATCGTTAAAATTAAAAAAAATTATAAAAAAACGTTTTGATAAAATTTTTCAATAAAAATTTAAAATAATCCGGCAGGTCTCCCTCATTTATATGTATTGTACGTCACAAGAATTACCACGATATCGCTCGTTATTGTGCGATTAAGCCATTAAACTAACCAAATAATAAAATTATTTATTCACCCAACAAATGATAAAATCAACAAAAGACTAAAATAAATACAATAATGTAAACAAACAAACCTTCATAAAATAGACAAAAAATATTTCGTTCCTTTACATCAAATAAATAATTTCATTTTGGAATGTTGGTGTATTTTATGCTAAATAGGTAATTAAATTTTAAATAATTTCAGTGTTTCTAATAGCAAAAAAATAAAATTAGTCACAATATTTCGGCAAAATATCATAAAATTCCTTGCTCATGTAAATGTACAAAAACGAAGGGGCAAAATACAAACAGAAAAACTTAAATACAAAAACGGAATCCAAATAGCAATTAAATCGCGCGAATCAATTAAATGTGACCTCACAAAACTCTTAACAGAATGCGACTGGAAAAGACAGAACGCTTTAAAAGTTGCAGTAGCCACAGTACTACGTTATGCCACACTCCATTAACCCAGCTGCCAGTATCTGTATAGTGTACACCAAGCAAAAAATTCAGAAGAAATTTAACGAATTTAATTTTAATTTGCACGGTAACTGCAAAATTATTTTAAAAATCAAATTACATAATAACCACAATTTCAAAAATAATTTCCCATATAAATTTAACATAAAAGAAAATTATTAAAATGAAAATAAATTAAAATAAATTAAATTAACTTTTAATTAAAATAAATTACCCTAAAATTATTAAAATAAAATTAACAAAATAAAATGTCCTATATTATGCAAAATTCCCAGTATATTTCTCCCAACTTGCCACGCACCTTTGGTCAGGCTCTGCGGCTGGTACAGCACCCGTGACGAGTACTGCCGGAGCTTCTCCAGCATCCGCAGCACGAAGACCTCGCGGCGGCAGCGTTTGTCCTCGATCTGGCTGATGACCAGCTGGTTGAGGACGCGCTCGGCCTTGTCGCGCACCTCCCGCCCGCCGGCGGCGCTGAAGCCCTGGCCGGCGTCGTGGATCAGTTCGACGACGACGGGGATGGCGCTGAAGTGCGTCAGGGCCAGGCAGTTCTCGGGGGACGTGCTCAGGGTCAGCAGCAGGTCGATCGACGCCGGCAGCTTCGATAACAGCTCCATGAATGACTCACGCTGCACCGGAAACAGTCAGAAAAAAATACAGTCACCATCTGCGCGCCCTCCATCAGCATTGCCCGCGTTTTAGCGGAGATGGTTGAAAAACGACGTAATTATCGTGCAAGCAATAAACCGAAAAACCATCAAATTCCTCACTAAAGTAACGTTAAAAATAGAGAAAATAAGCACAATTTATCTGCAATTTAAAGAGAATAAAAATAGAATTTCGGAATCGTAAAAAACACGACGTAATTATTGTGAGAGGACAAATTATTGGAAAATCGTGAAATTCTGAACGAATTTAACTTTATCTATTTAAAAAAATAAAATCTAAATGGCAACTAAATCGCGCAAAACGAAATTAAGCACCGTAATTGTTGAAACATAATGCTTACAAATTTTGCTATGAGAACGCGAAGCGGTAGCCACTGAACTACGTTATACAGTCAACGACGCAACTTGCCGTATACTGTATTTAAAAAAATTCAAAAACAAATTTTATTAATTAGTTTTTTCATGTGTAGTCGCTGAAATTGTTGTGCCAATATTAAAGAAAATTCGTACCAAACAAATTAAAAGTATCTTAAGTAAAATAATCATACAAAAATTCCGCTAATACAAGAAAATACTGGAGTGCCAACTTATTAAATTTTAAAATTAATTACACCGATCTGCAAAATAATGTTTGCGAAAAAGGATTGGATTGGTGAAATAAACTGTTCTATATTAAAAACAGAACCTACACAGCCATTAAACATTGCGAAACAAGCATTTAACATAGTATAACGATTCGAAACCGTGAACACTGATTAGCCGCAACACTACGTAATCCATGCCCTTCAAGCCATTTACAATATACGAAATAAAAATAAATTAAAACCGCAATTGAACAAAATTATTTTTCGATAAGGAACTACAGAAACTGCTGTGAAAAAAACTTGAAAATATTGCCAACGAAATTTGGATTTTATGAAGGATTACATACCATGAAAAAGAATCGTGATAAAACAGCGAATGTTGAAAAAAAAACCGACAAGAATGTAAAAATCCGCCACTGACCTGCAGAAGGAGCACGGAGCCCTCGCTGAGCGCGGGCACGGCATGGTGCGGCAGCGGGGGCGCCGCGTGGCCATTGAATTCCTCCGTCGGGCGGCGCGGCCGCACGGTGGCCGTCCCGACGGCGCTGGCGCTGCTGGACCCGCTCGACACGGACTTCATGGCTTTATCACGCTGTGAAAAACAATTCGATTATTTCCGGACTTTTTTTAACCGTATTTACGGGCTTTTTCATCCTTATTTTAAGGTATTTTCTTCATCTTCAAGAACTTTGTCCTCTAATTTAAAGAAATTTTTCGTATTTCTTCAAAGGAATTTCATTATCGTTAAAGAGTTTTTCCCTCTTTATTAAGGAGATTATTCTTAATTTTCCCAGTCCCTTTTTTCAAGTTCATTTAAGGGGGTTTTTCATCTTTATTTAAGGCATTCTTTTCAGTTTTATTTAGAGAATTTCTGTCATCTTCATTTAAGGGGACCTTTCCATCTTTATTTAAGGCTTTTTTCATCTTTTATCTTAGGGATTTTTTATATTTTAATTGAAGGAATTTTACTCATCGGTGACTGAATATGTGACGAGTGACCCACCTCGGTCAAATAGTGTAGCTGGCGCAGTTTGGACAGCTCGCGGTCAATCTGCTGCAGCCGCTGGCATGGCGGCACTACGGCCCAGGGAAAGGGACACGGCGGACCGGCGACACCGGCCGGGACGGGCGGCGGGGGCTCCGAGGCCGGACACGGCCACGCGTCAGGCACAACAACCGTTTCCTATGATAAAAAAATACAAGAATTATTTTACAATTTTTCATTTCACTTCAACAGCGACTTCGTAGATAATCCTCGAAGCAAGCAAAATACGAAGCGAGTACAAGTACGAATTCAGCCTTTACAAAAATTACAAGCTGTACGAGAAAATCAACCCAGAATCTGCAATAAAAAACAACCTGAAACGACAAAAAAATTCAGAATTATTTGAAATAAAATGGAAAGTATTAAAAAAAACTTTCTGATTTATTTCACAATATTATTTTAGTTGCTGTAAAGAAGGACCCTGATAAGAGCAGTAAACACAGTCAACTGAATCTGTGTAGAAAGTTTAAAATTGGCAAAACTGGTCGTTGTGCGGGAAAATTATTTAATAAAAAAAATTTACCACGCGCCACTATTTAAAAATTGTTACATTTTTCCCAGGAAACGACATGCAGAATTGTGAAAATAAATACAACTTGGGTACAAAAAAACCGGCCACATGCCGCTCAGCAAATTCGCATCACCCGTACGATCAACAAAACCAAACACACAACAATAAGTCAACGGCTTCCGGCACACTTCGCAGCCAACGAAATCAGTGAAATCACGTAATCAGCAAACATTTTATGCATTCAGCCGCACCCTGTTCATTTTTTCTGGATTTTTTCAACAAAGCGACCAGCATAATGAGGCGCTAAATAGAGCTGTAATAGCGGTATTGAAATGGCTCCAACACTATTTGCTGCTGCGCAAACCAATCGCGCCAATGAAAACAAACACCGCGCAACGCTTTTTGTCAGCATTCCGTGTTGACTCTGGCGCAATGACATTGAAAATGGAGGGGAAGAGATCAGCGTGTTTACACACACCGCCGGAATAGCGCCCGATTAACAGTTTTCGCACCCATCAGGCCGCGAAAATGCCTGTCAACGGCGCGAACATTTAACTGCGTCCAAACACCGGCAAAAAATTAACCAAATAATTTATTTTTTAATGTGATAACATTTCTGACAAAAAATGATGAAATTCTCGGTTTAATAAAATCAGCACAGCAAAAACTTTTAACACCAATTTCAGATTTGCATCAAGATTTTTTTACCGTCAAACCGGCAAAAAACTCCGCTTAAAAATTTTTTTCTAATATTTCAATGTACTTTCATTTTTAAAAAAAATCTTTCAAATCGGTATGTACAGCAAAAATTCCAAATACCACGTCAGATTTTTTTTATTATTATTTGTAACTATAAAAAAGCAAAAATTATCAATAATTTTAATATCAACGAATATTATGAATTTTCGGATGATTTTTGCCAGTATTTTTTACTTTAACACAGGAATGCAATTTAATCCTGATTTGACTTAATGCAGAAAATACAAATACTCCTGTTTATGTTTCTAATTTTGTCATGATCATTGAATTCAATCACGTGCATTTTTCACAAGAAAAATGTTTTCTAAATTCTTTTTAAGGCTTAAGCCATCAATGCATTTATCGCGAAAATTCCGTTTAGCAGAGACGCTGAAAATTCACAACATTTTTTTAAAAAATTTACAAGCCTCGACAAAACAAAGCCACGCACGTGCCGATTCAACTGCAAAATACGCCGTAAAAATGAAAAGATATTCATCCGCAAAATATTCCCAAAATTCCCTAAAAGCCCCGTGACCTTTTCTTTGCCGGCAGATTTAACGGGAATTTTAAAGAGATTTTAAATTTATTAAATTTAATTCCATTGTGCGCTGCCGCAGCCCGTCCGCCCACCAGCCGGCACCGAGCGGAAGCCGTACACCAACAGCCCTATTAAATCAACTGATAAAAGGAGAGAATGTGGAGCAGCCCAAGAGGAAATCCTAATCCGCTGGTTAATGGTAAAAAATAATGGCAATTTCTCAAGTGAAATGTGAGTATGATTTCTCCCTCTCCCCACTATCCTTAACGAGCGGCGGTAACAGTTGGCGGAGGGAGCTGCACTTCCTGTCGTATATGCGTATATATCGAGTGTCGGGCTGTCGTTAAGCAAATTGGATTATTGGGCCAATCTGACGTCAAGTCAAACACTTTGCCGACTTCTTCGCTTTCATACGAGTGCCGTGTGAGAAATCTATCTATGCGGCGCGCAAATCCTCGGTAAACTAATTTCCCCACTTGGCATTCTATCAGCGATACCATACAGGTTTTTTCCTCAATTCGATCCGCAATTCTACCTTAATTAATAATTTTATTTTCAATTTTTGTCATGTCAAGCCGTAATTTTATACAATATCCTTGAACAAAATTTAGGAAATATTTTTTTCCAAAATTCCAATTAAGCCAGTCATCTGTTCGGAAATTATTGACGACAATATTTAGAAATCAATCACGGCTTCATCGGCATTTATTCATAAAATAATTTTCTCGAACAAAATGGTAATATTAATCCAAACTGCATTAATAGGTTCATAAATGCATTCGCACATCACAAATGCACATTTATCCGAAGATTCGTAGAACGGTGGCTATATAGTACATAGGTGGATCGATGATAATGTTCACAAATTGGTTGTTCCTCTGCACAAAAGTACAAGGCGACAATATTAATCATTTCGATATTTTTAACTTAGTTGATAATTTTTATCTTGGATTAATTACAAATATCTTGAATTTTTTTTATTTTAATCTTGAATTAACCAAATTATTTATATTAATTATAAAACAGTATTCTTGAGCAAAACTCAAAAGACAGGCTTTTTAACATTCAAAATAACTTAAAGAAACCATTTACCTGTCAAATTATTGGCGACAATATTAATCATTCCGGCATTTACGATTTAGTGCGAATTAATTTTTTTATTTAATCAGAAAATCAATTAATTTCACTGGAAAATTCAGAAATCGATAAAAATGCAAACCAATAAAAGGCCAAAAATATAAAATTTCCAATTTAAATAGCTTGTTAAAATAGCAGAATTACCAGATAAATTTAAATTAATTTTCCACCGGGGAAAAAACTGAAAAAAAGTATATTGCCGTCGGCAGGAAATTGTTCACTTGACAGTTTTTTCGGGAGCACCTAATTTGGCTAAAGACGGCCGTGCGCCGGTCGCGACCGGCCCACTTCCGCTCGTTGGGAACGCTAATGCAGCAATCGCGCCCAACGGCAACACCAGCATCTTCGCCCGGTGAGAGCAGCGCGGCGTCTCCGCGAATTACGCGATCGATAGCCGCTCAAAAATTAATCCACTTCGCACTCTCCGCAACATCTTCCCGTGCAATATTTAAACCTGCATCTCTTCACACCATCCGCAACCAGCATTGACACGTAGGGAAGCATTTAAAAACACTTAAAAGGCTTCAATAATTTCGCTTAATGCGGTCACTATATCAAAAAGCCGGCTCATTATAAATTTAACAGGAAGCCGGAAATGTCGCGTAAAAAACAAGTAAAAAAAAGCGAAGTACGGGAAACTGACGAAGGCATAAAAAAATCGCCATTACAAATGCCACAACTCGTCAATTAAAAATAACTACGAAAATTATTTTTTAATTTAAGAAAACATTTTAAGAAAGCAGCCGAACTGAAAGTAAGATTCATATCGAAATTTCAAACTCAGATGATTATGTTTTCCATCACCGGAACACCGGCGTCCTCAGAGAAACAAAGTTCAGTTAATTATTTTTTAAATGACTTAAATTAAATTACTAATTACAATAAATTTCACTGGTATTAAGTTTTGCCGTAATTTTTGCTCAAGCGCATTTTTCCGTGTTTTAAAATTTAATTAAAATAAATTACTCAGAGTTTTTGGTTTATTTTAGGTTATAGTTCACTGGCTGATAATTAGATTTTGTTGTATTTTTTTTCTCATACGTATTCTGCCGTATTTTTTAAATTAATTAAATTAAATTACTCTCTCTGAGACTATATTTGAATATTTCGCTGGTTTTAAATTTTCAATTAAATTAATTAAATTAATTTTTATTAAATTTTGCCGTTTCTTTTCAAAAACCGTTCGCCATCGACGAGAAAAATGACCGGGCAAAAATTCCCGCCCACCCCCAAAACTCTTCTAAAACGTGCCAGCGCCTAATAAAGAAATCATCATCACGCTTAGCTGGGCAAAAACCAGCCGGTTAACCCGCGGGATCAAGAGGATTAGGGATGCGAGTATCATTAAAAGGTAATTGCATTGCCGGGCCGGTTTCCGGCCCAATCAGCGCATTTTTTGCCGCGTCGCACGCCGATTGCCTAATGTGGATTAATTGGCCCGGCCCGTGTACAGCGACACTTTACCGCATCACTGCATCCGTAATTACATTCCCACACAGACATCTATCCCGTCCGCTCTCTCCCGGATCACCCGCCAACAACATTTCCCATTAATCAATTCGCTCATTTCGCTAATGGATCCCCCATTCAATCCTCCCGTTTCCAACATTCCCCCGCACAACGGCCCGCGATCGACACCAGTGTTGCCGAATTTTTAAGGATTTCTCGCACGATCACATAACGCAACGGACCCGCGGTCTTTTACCGCGGTCCAGGTGTGCGCAAAATCGAAAAGAAATACAATCCCGGTGCGTGGTGTCGTCCCGGATTTTTTGCAAAATACCGCCACGCAATTTGTACTCGATAAACACGAATTAATAAAAATCTAGCTGGGTAATTTTGAAATTACTGCACCTGCTATCACGTAAATTAAACACTTGGCTAACGAAAAATATTATCAAAAATACAAAAACAAATACGAAAAGTAGAAATTAAATACAGTAAAACCGAATAAATATTTAAACGCAAAAAAAACAGTTCTCGTGAAGCGATTTTCACCCGGTAAATACGAATTGTAAAAAATCTATTTGGATAAATTCGCAAATTCTTGGCTGGGGGATACTATCACGAAAATCAGGTAAGCTCAACCAAACAACCAACTAACAATTGAATTTTATCAAAACTCCGTTCATTTATTAAAAAAGCAATTTCGATTCCAATCATTTGCATTGGTACAAAAATACGAATTTCTTATTTTTACAGAACAAAATGGGGGAGAAAATCACTGCTCTTTTGAAAACAACTATTCACAGCAGCCGTTGTTCTACAAAGCCATCAGTTTTTTACGATCCACGCAGAGTGTTTTATTTTCACAGAAAAGGAAATTAGGAAAGAAAATCTTATAAATTTAAAAAAAAATGAAAGCAAACTTTTGGCAAAAAATTAAAATCGACATAATTTCTTCAAATAACGGAACAATATTTCGGTAATAAAAAAAAAAACAAGTAAACCAACCGGAAAAAAAATAAAAAATAAAACAGGAAGAAAAAGTTAAGGAAATCCAGAAAATCGTGGGACTTACCGCGGATGAGGATGAATGTGATTGCGGGGAATTGTTGTGGTGCGGCCATCCATTAACCAGCTCCGACGACGCGGCGGGATGGTCCTCCGTCTGCTCGTCACACGCCACACTCTCGTACAGCCACTTCCACAAAATCGCGCTACAACAGGCCCCACAAAAACCCGGTCAACACGCCTGACGCAATAAAAAGCGGGACACCCTCCAGGCGGATTTCGAATTTGGCGGGAAAACAAAAATTCCAATTTTTAAACTCCTGTCTGCTGCGAAAAAACGCTCGATTTCGCTGATCGACGAAAAAAGTCTGGTAGAATATTTTTGGCGCGCTAAAATAACACACTCGACATTTTCACGCTGACGCAGACCTGTCTGGGGGATTCTGGCGGGCTGCCAGGATCACCGTTGCGAATTCGAACTGACTTTGCTCCGGTCGAATAACTGATCAAGGGAATTTTCCAATAAAATCTAATTTATTTTGATCGATGTATTTTCTACCAGTATCATGTATGCATCGATTGAACGCGTCTTCACCACGGAAAAATCTTCAAATACAGCTACAACGCATAACTGGAAAAGAAATCGGAAAGGGAAAAAATCTGGTGAAATAATATCCGCCAAAAAGCTGGAAAAGTCACTGTTAAATTTCTCGCGAATTTCCTTTAAAAAAATGGACAAATATTTTTCTACCAGTCAGAAATATTTTTTCCAAAGAAACAGGACAACCAGACAAATTTCTACCGTCTTCCAGGGAAAAAAAGGAAATCGAGACTCGAGAGGGAAAAAATCTGTTTAAATATTAATCACTAAAAAGCTGGAAAAATCAATGCAAAATTGTTCGTATAATTCCTGTAAAAAATGGACAAATATTTTTCTTCAAGTCAGAAAATTTTTTCCCAAAGAAACAGGACAACTAGACAATTTCCTACCGTCTTCCCGTTCAAACCGACACTTAATTCACTTTCCTCCCACCACCGGAAATTTCTCAGCCCGGAGGGAACGCTTCCCATCGGAAATTATCAGCAAAATGGCAAATAAACTTCCCCATCCGTTATTTTCACGGGAAACACTCACCGTTCACAGTAGAGTTGCTGGATAAGATGGCAGAGATCACAGGCAGGCACATGCGCATCCCGAATTAGCCAATTTGAATTATTCCGAATATTCACGCTGCTGCTAGTCGCGCCGTCACGCACACGGTGCTGTGCATGTGATAAATCACGCTGTGCAGGCAGACCGGTGCCATCACACGGCGCAGGCAGAGAGGCTAAATCACGCTGCGCAGACAGAGAGGTTGTATCACACGGCGCAGACAGACTGCTGCATTCTTCACTGGTAAACAACGCGAACGGGGCGGGCCGTCCATTGTCTGGTCCAGGCACGGCATAGCTCGCGCAGTGCAGCTGGCCAAAGGGGGCGGGCCGGCCCTGGCTGACCGGCTGCTCATTGGCCATTTAATTAGCCCGGTTCATATTAAGCAGCAAGACCTGCGAAAGGCGCAGACAGTATAATCACCGCATTCTACTGTATCTGCATATATATACGGCCAAAGGCGAATAAATAATGGCAGCTAATGCCGGCGTTTACTCTTTTATGCGCGTTGTGCGTAGTTACAGCGGGAGAAATGGGAGATCGAGCGGATGTCGGGAGAGAGGGGAGGGGCGGGATCAGATTCTGGGAGCGGGATCATCAACTACCAATCATCCCCGTCCCACGCCGACGCCGTCTTTAACAAACTACCGGCGCCGGCACTTCCGGCGCTGTACCGCACTTTCTATCGAATTTTCGCGGTACTGTTTTAATCGGCTAAACAAGGCGCGGCGCAGGCATCCGTCTCTAGTTACTCATTTTCAATTTTCTAATCGCTCACTTCTGCAGTTATTTAATCTAAATAAATATGTAAATGAAAATTTGAAACATAAAATAAAAATTAAAATAATTCTGTTTTAAAGTTATCCATAATGGTAAAAAAATCTGGCAAGAGACGATGATTATACATTTAACAAAATGTACATACATTCCAGAAAAAATTAGATAAAATATACAGAAAATATTTACAAATTTAATTGCCATATTTTTAATTTTGTGTACATGTCTATGTATCGATAATCGCGCTACAGTTCAATACAATGATGCAATATTGCAATAGGAAAATTTTCTACAATTTTTCGCATTCGCAGCAATATTTTGCTGACCCATTTCGATGAAATATTTGATAAAATTTAATTTATAAAATGGAAGACGCCGCGTTGTCGAGTATGCGGCGGCGGCAGTGAGTCGGCAGTGCGCATGCAGCCAGCTGTCGGTTATTTACGGTTGAGTGACAACATCACCCCGACACGTTCCGCTTTCAGCAGCGTTTTTCTGGAACGTAGCTACGGGAGCGACAGATATCGGGCAACTTTCATAAGCGATGTCAATCAACGCGACCAACTTGGTAAATTTAGTCCATTGCCACGAGGCGGTGAGCATAACAGCCCATAAATGCATATCTTAATGACCGTAATACCGAGTACTCTGTACTAGTACCGTGGAAGTAAGTACTTCTACGGTATTAATTGTACAACTACGTAAATAATTTATTTACTACCATTAACATTTTTCGTGGATAATCATATTAATTTCCTAAATAAACAAATAATAATTTTCATAGCCATCACACTTTAAAGTACCGTGTATGTACTGTGTACTGTGTACGGGAATAATTTAATAAACAGCTTTTATAGAACTTGTACGCCTTTTGAATTTTCAAAGAAACTGCTGAAATATGCGGATTAAGCACAAGTACACAATGCAACCCCTGCGTGCTAACGCAAGGATAATCGAGAATAACTTATCAAACGATAACGTAAGCGTCCATATTAAAAATTAACGTGCTGCTATATTATAATTTTCGGTTTCCACAATTGCTGTTGCAAACGGGTTCAGTATAATCGCATTTCAAATCAGCAACACATAAACTTATAAACAACTGCATTCTCAAGTTTAGCAGTAAATCAGTGCCCACATCTGTATGAATTAGTCGTTGTTGAAACTGGCATGGTGTGATAATGGACTTCCGGTGTGATAATAATGTCGATCGGCGAGAAATATTTTTTCACTACAGGGCGCCCGTGCTTACAAGGAAAGCACAACAATAATATGTATGTACATGTATATAAAATACAAAATAATACATGAAATACAACAACTGATGAATACTCGTAGGTTATTTATGAAAAAAAATTTTAATAAAAATAAAATAAAAAAATTAATCTTGTAAGTTTTACAAATTAAAATACGTAATCCACGCAGATGTGGCACTAAAGTAGGTGACCTTAGACCGGAAATGACTCAACATTTTCAGAGTTAGGCGCCGATATAAAATTAATCTCTCTGAAGCTACGAGTAGATTTTTTCGGTTTCTACAGATCTATTCCGTATACATAAACACCATCCCATACACAAGTACAGATACATTCTATATTTATACGTAATTAACGTCATCATTTTTAATTTTATAAAATAAAATTCCGCATTACAACGCAAAAACGTTTTGTAAAAATTGGCAATACACTGTATTTATACACCGCGTACCAACTACCCGAAGTATAATTAATTTTTATATGGCCAATGTCATATCTGTACACGTGTCACTAGCGATGTTGCACTCATTTCAGGAAGGAGAAAAAACACAGGAACGGGATTTAACTCGGGATGGCCGGAACGATTCCGGCGCATGCAGCTATTTGACTCTGTTGACATTAAGTCAACAGGGCCAATATTTGCCAAGAGTTCGATCAAGACACTCATAAAGCGCTTTGATAGGCCCCTGCATACACACATTTTCGCCGGTTTTCCCAGTTGCATACAGACTGATCCCGGGACGCGTGTACAGTGACCGTGATTTCTTTTTCTTCTCCGCTGCACCAACTCGAACGACCAACGTCAAACACACGATGATCTGATTATTGTCACTCAATTTTCCAATAAGGGACTCCATTAACACAACACGCACTTTGCGCTGGAGCGCGCGCTGGCCAAAATTAACCGGGAAAAATGTGCGGGAACGAGTGTACATGTACAGCTGTTGCTGCGCCTGGGCGCCGTTTCTTATTGTTTAAGTGCGCCCAGTGCGTTGGGCAACGTTGCGTAAGCTTTTCTTGTCGGGATCAGATGATAATGCCGGTAAGCTGCGGGATTTGCGGAGGAAAAAGACGCGATGGATATCAGTGTAAGCTGTGTAATCAGGGTGAACGCATTTAATAAGTCACCCACAGAAAAGTGCCATTCGTATCCTTAAACGATCGATCTTCGGCTTTCGTAACGTGCAAAAAAATTCCGACCGCAAATTCCTCGACATGCATTAAACCATTTTGTGTAAAAAATTTTAAAGCATAAATTAATATTAAAAAATTACAGTAATATTTGGGAAACACACTGCATTTTATTTTAATCGCAGGAAATTAACGAAAATATTGATATAAATTTTTCAAGAATTGTGGTTGTATTTCTCGAAGTCGCTTGGAAATTTTGATTATTGCAGCCAAAATATTTTTGAATAAATGGAAAAATATAACTAAACAAATCTACAACACAATATTATTTGCGCTACCTGATTTACATCTAATTTTAATCGCAAAAAAACGAATAAAAATATTGAACTTAGATTTATTACAAATTTTATTCGTGTTTTTCGAAGTCGGTTGGAAATTTTGATGACTGCGGCCAAAACACTGGAGCCAAAACACTTAAGTTGAAGAAATGTTTTTAACAAAAGTTTTGAAGTATTTTTAGAAACTGAAACCGTTATTTCAAAATTCGTGGCCTTATAATTCGCAAAAATCGCCGTCTGAAAAGCGGTACAGATGATAAGAAATTCAAAAATAAATTTGGTGTCTCTGTAAAATTTTATGGTGGGATATACATCGCGTGCCGTGTCCCTTGGCGGCGGTAAAGCAATCCCAGCCGCCATCGAACAAAACGGTAGCGGCATGCTTGGCCGCGTTATCCGATGGCATCGCCGCCAATAATCAGGCTTATTATATCGGTACACAAAAAGGCGGTACATGCGCAGGGAGAGAGGAAAAAAAGCATTTACACTCCTATTCACATCCTGCGGTATCATCACGACGCCGTGTTTACGCAGGAGTTTACTCTCGCCATTTTTCTCCCTCACACAGCTGCCCTAAATGGACATAATCCCGGAAATCAATATTAAACTCACCCACAGGTACGATTGGCCGGTCAACCGGATGTCGTACGTACGGCTTAATGGATACATGGTGCAGCCGTATATAATGGCACTCGTATGCACACGCGCCAGCGGATTTAAATTTTTAATCACTGTTCGGATCTTTGATTGGCCATTGGGCAGGTGCACTCGTACAGCAGCTGTACGCAAAACCGGTTTTTACAAGCACACTGCACTCGTACTCGTACTGAAATATCCTGCTGCAAAGTTTAAAGCGTCTGTACGACACGAGTGTTATGTAAAGTAAGTACTGTACGCGCGGTAGTTTGTAATAGCTGTTTTGTAATAGCGCGCCCTGTACACCGCTGTTAAATAGCTCGTTAAACGCTCTGGGGATACCATTAAAACAACAAAGTGCCTGCACAGATTCCTCCATCAAAATGGCCCGATCCATGCTGCGACCTATTCACCGCTTGCACACAGTACCGGCAAGAAATCAATTCCCCCTTTTCCCATTCTTCCCGCGCAGCCGGCGCCGTATTTTATCCGTAAAAATAACTTTCTGCCAAGCTGGCCGGTATAAGCCGCTAATCTACGCCCTATTTTCAACAATCTTCGCGCCACGGCGCGCTGAGGCTCAGCGAAATTATTTTCTTAAAATAAACATTTTACGCTCCCGTTCCGCGCTTTGTCATGCCGGTCTTTTCGGCAGCGTTTAATTCCGCTGAAATTCCCAGATAAAAAGATCCCGCCCGCACGCGCGCGGCTGGATGAAAAAGGCACCGGCATTTGCGCGGTATGTGTTGTTGATTAAATGTTCGTTAACGTTGTTGCCTATTTCAAGCGGAAATTGCGTGTCAGGCTGATAGGGAGCTGCAAGTCAGATTACATCGCGTGGGACAAGCAAAAACCTGACAACAACAAACGCGTACTCTCACATACAGATACAGGCGGAAATTAAGGAAACTCACAAATTTCTTGGCATTCGCCAGAATCATGAACGAGTAAAAAAGTCACCACGGCATTCGTAACACTACGTGTAAAAATAGTGCAAATTATTTTCAAATCATGCAGTAAATGGTAATTTTAGTCGAAATGGTCGTTCATTCGTCACACAAATAAAAAATAAATTTGTATTCGTAATTTTTCACCTGGAACATCTCCCAGATTACACAAAATTATGGAAGCTGAAAAGTAGATCAGCAGACGTTTAAAGTATTTGCTTAAATCGCCGCATGAATTTTGAATTTGAAGGAGCATTTTATAAATCAAAATCAACACACCCGTTACGTACTACTGTACATGCTGTACGAGTACCGAATGGGACAATGGCCGGCTAAAGCACATTACGCAACACTTTAGCTGTCGGTCAACGGTCAGCCCTTATCAGATCTAGACGATCTATCACTGCATGAGAATAAGCAGTCAAACAAGCCGCGTCGCTAGCATTCTCTGTACGATCGTCCAATCTGACCAGCGGTCAAACCGGGAATTCCCACCATTGCGCACTGTGCCGTGGCAATGCTCCCGTCGCGAACGCCAGTTTTCCATCGATACCCATTTTCAACAATAACATTAAAATGCTAAACAAATTCGACATTTTCTTATGATAACAGTTTTCTGGAAGAATTACCTCTACGATAGGAAAACAGATCAACTGGCCATTTGCAACCTGACACTGAAAAACATGTATCGCAATCCGTGCAGCATCTGTATGCGGGTACACGGCGCACTCACTTAATCAAACAGGAAGCCTCTCACATGCGCATAAATTAACATTAACAAATATTTCGATCGAGTTACTCCTTCCACACACTGCGCCGCGCGTATCCAAATAAAAATTTCCCCTCCATCACATTTCCATTAGTAACAGTTTAACGGGAACTTAATCAGACCTGATCGAATCTCCCATTTCCGCCCCATAACATGGAGCAGCGCGGCCAGCGCGCTTCCGCTGAACATGAACAAGCATGCAGCACTGCACTGGCGCTAATCACTTACCCGATTAAATTAAATCAAACGCACTGGACCGCACTTATCACACACGGCAAAAATGAAAAATCACTCCAGGCATACACGATCAACCGATGCTATCATCCGTGGAAAATATCCGCCATCACAAAGGAACAAAAATCCGCAGGAAAAACAGCGATAAAAGCAGGCATAATCCGGGAAAATCCAGCGGCAGCCGATGAAGAAGGGAGAGAAAAAAGCGACGCATGCACTATCACGCCGCCGTCAAGTGGCGGAACAAAACAGACAGTTGGTCAGCGGCGCATAATACTGTGGCAAATATTGAAAAACCGAAAATCCGCCTGTGTGTGCTGGCCGTTTGGTAAACATATGCAGGCTTGACTGATCAATCATCACTTTTCAAATTGATCGAATTTTCTCCCGCGCTCTGCCTGTTAGCCAGCCTCTCTGACTCTCTGTCCCGGGTTGTGTCATACACTGCGCTGTCAGTGTTGTGACCTGCAGGCGCGGGGATGTCTCTATCCCGAAATTATGCCCGCTCGCAGGGATGACAAGTACGAACCGAGCGCTGCAACGCGTCGAGCGGGCTAAATCCTGTGCAGGATGTAAATTCCCCGTACCGCACGCTCTGTATTGCACCGCTTGCTACCGGGAAATCCGTCAGTACGTTGATATTAATCAGCATACGTTGCATTTATTCGGTCGATCTGCTTACTGCCCTGTACAGTCAATTTTAAAAACCTGATATTTAACGGAGAACAGTTGAAGTTGCGCCGATATTCAGCGGTTAAAGCTGCAGAAACACGATTTTAAAGCAGTCTGCGTGTGTTCTCTGTGACGGTTACGCCTATTCAGATTGGCTCAGCAGGGAAATTACATATTGCGCGCTTTTTCAGTAAATTTTTCCGGGAAACGTTGTCCCAAGCGCAACTGGGATGATATCCAATACTGGAAGGAGCACTAGCTCCGTGTCCGGGTGCAATGTCTTCCGCGGCTGAATAGCGCAATGGGGGTCAGATTGCAGGTGTTGGATAGAATACCGGCGGCACGTGCACGTTAGATGTCTTACACACTCCAGCATGCGCTGGCCGGAAGTCCCATGCACCGGGACATGCCGCCAACGGATGGTCGATCCCATCGCCGGCACCGCATGACACATCGGGGTCACGCGCTAAATTATAGTATACCCGGTAAAATCCATACTTCGACTGCCGTCGCAGCACATCAATTATGCAGGTGAATTACCGTACTCCACATATTCTTCACATTTTTTTCCCCTTTTGCTAGAAGCCGAAACATACGTATTTATAATTTAACCTTATGCAATATCTAACAGCGGAAAATTTTCCAGAATTAATTCAGCTATTTCCGGCTTAACCAAAACGACACGCCCCGTAATGTGAGAAAAATAATCTGCACAATTATCTCACTATTCGCCAGCACACCACGAAGGAAGAAAATTTAAAACAAAATTCCAGTAATGCAGGATATTAATGCTGAATTATTAAGCTGCTAAATAATAATTACAGTATAACCAGGAACTAACCGATTTTTTACTATCCAGGAAATCCGAATACCACTACATAAACATTTTAGTAATTACAACTGCCCAATAATTCAAAAATCGTTGCAATAATATAGGAATATTAACACTGAATTATTATGCAAATAACTAATAATTATTACCAGGAAATGACCGATTTTTTTTACAACCACAGAGATCCAAATATGACTGCATCAACGTTTCAATAATTTAAAAATCCCATTAATTCAATTTTTATTAATACGTATAAAACAATCAGCGAAAGCTGCCCGCGTTCACAACTTAAATAAGACATGGCAGAGAAAAAAACATTTATCGCGATCCGTCCAGCGTCCAGCATCTGTATGCGCGTACACGCCACACTCAAGTAATCAAACAGAAACCTGTCTCATGCGCAGCAATTAACATTAGCAAACATTTTGAGTTACTGTACTTTTTTCACAGACTGCACGCGCGTATCAAAATTAAATCCCAGAGAATTTCTCTTTCATCACATTTACATTAGTAACAATTTAACAGGAGCCGAATCAGACCTGATCGAATCTCCCATTTCCGCCGAAACATGTGGTGATAAGAAAAAATTTCACGGTGAGAAAAATGTCCGGCAGACCGAAAGAAAATTGGATGAGGAAGCAAAATTCAGGGTGCACTCTCTTTCCCTTTGTACTGGGCCGTCGACATGGCCTATTCCATGGTGGAAACGGATAAGTCCCGTTTCCACCATGGAATAGGCCATGTCGAGGACGGCCTCCTCCAGCGTATAAGGCTGCTCCATCTCCAGAACGTTTTTCATCTACACAAACAAGAAAACATCAAAACCGGAAAATATTCAAAAAATCTGCCGTTTCTTCTTCAATAACATATAAGTATTATAACAGTAGAGTATGCTTCGTAATTAAAAAAAAAACACAAGAATGTGCTTCATAATTAAAAATTTAATTATAAATAAAATTTTCGGCAAATGAAGCATTAATTTTTGTACAAAAATTTTCATATGCCAAGTGTAAGTAAAAAAATGGCTGCAACGCAAAAATACCTAAATAATTCGGAAATCACATTTTTGTGTAATATTACAGGCTGTAGTTCGGCAGTTAGTTAAATAAAAACATGATATTTACCTATTCATATTTATTTTTCTATTATACGTTATTTAGGTATTAAATATTTTGGTTTATTTTATGCACATTAATTCTGAAATTCTGAGATCGATTCTGAACAGTTTTATAATGCGGAAAAGATTTGATCATCGAGCAAGACCTAATTAACTGGGAAATTAGGTTGTGCATAATGAAAAAAAGGTGTCTGACCTTGGAGTTGTCAATGCGCAGTTGCTGGCTCCAGCCCGGCATGACCGTCTGCGGGGCTTTACGGAACCACGCCACGATGGGCGCGACCAGTTTGGACGTCGACAGCGTGGGCACCCGGTAGCCCTGCGGCCGGAACTCCCGGTCCAGCAGCGCGGCAATGTCTTGAGCCACATCCCGCCCGAGCTGATGATGAACCGCTGACCGGCCGCCGCCGGCAGCATCATGGCGTGGATGTGCGCCAGGGCGACTGTGCGGACGTCGCTGAAGTCCAAGTACAGGTCCGGAAGCCACTAAATTTCATGTCGCATCAACTGGCCCACCACCTAAACGTTAGTAGAGTCTAAATTTTACTGATAACTTTTAATTAACAGCACAATTAAAATTTTTTTTAATTTAATATTTATTAATATGAGATATTCAGCGAAAGTGCCCACCTGTGTGCTGGTGCTGCCGGTGGATCCGTGACTGACGGGGCCCATGGCGTAGGACGGATTAATCGTGGCCAGTTCGAAATGCTTGTTTTCTGTCAATTATTCAAAAACAATTGAATAAAACCTAAAAAACTAAAACTAAAAAGCATGAAACAAAGCCGAAAATAACGAATAACAAATTAATGCGGTTAAAGAAAGTCATTTTGAAAAAGAATTAATGAAAAATTCAAAGAAAATAACAAGAAGGTAAAAAAATAAAAACGGTCAAACGCAAAAAGGACATCGCCGATGCGAATTAATTAACATCAATTTTGAGACGCAGAATTATTATTAAAACTTCAATTATTAAATTACTAAAAAATTATGCAAAATTTAAAACCAAATAATTATTGTTAGTTATAAAAATGTTAAAAATTTTATTTGCCAATTTATTGAACAACGGCACAGCGAAAAGTCGGAAAGGATATTCTTCGTAAATGGCTGGCTTTCCATACCAGGCAGTTTATTGACAAAATCCCAGGCGGCCTCCTCGGCCAGAGTTTTGCTCTTCTGGTGTGCGCCGACATCCTGCTGCAGATCGGTCCAGTCGGCCTCCGAGTAGGTCTTGTTGAAGTCCGGGGCGGTCTGGCCGACGACGGCCGCCACCGAGCTGGTCAGCACCACCCGCTTGACGCCGCCCACTTCCGCGCAGGCCCGCAGGACGTTCAGAGTGCCCTCTACCGCCGTCTTAATTAACACCTGCACCGCACACTCACGCCATTATCCACCAAATAATTACATGTAGAATAGCATAATCTATTATAAAAATTATTAACTTAAATTCAATTTATTGTTGATCAATTTTCTTATTTTATTTGTCAAATAAAATGATAACAAACGAACCAAATAATTTGCGAATAAAACATTTTGATAAAATTACTGAACAAAAATTCATTTTGGCATTTATTAAATACAATGAAACTAATTATCAAATTAATTGTGTTCAAATTAAATATATAAAAAAACAAATTAAATCTGCCATCGAAAATAATGTGTCAACTGAAAATTTTATTGAACAAAAAAACGAAGTCTTAAATTACTTATCATTACGCGAACCCGCAATAAAAAGCCCACAGAAAATCCTGTAAGAAAAGAGATCATTCAGTATGAAGGCGTGAAAATCTCTTGAAACAGTCGTGCATTAAACAACAGCGATTTCTTAAAAAATTGATAAAATAAACAGCAAATTAATTTGAAAGAAAACAGGAATGTGGCCAAAATAATTCTGCGTATAATCAAACCTGTGGATCCGAGGGGATTTCGTACGGGAATGGGTAAGCCACATGCAGAACGTAGGTGCAGCCGGCCACCACTCTGCAAAATCAACGTTATCATTACGTAATTGATTGCCCGATGGAAATAAACTGTTTATTAACCAACGGTGACTGACCGTGTCCAGTTGTCCAGCTGGTCGTCGAGGAGGTCGGCCTCGACCAGCTCCAGTTTGTAACGGGCGTCGCGGCACATCTGATACAGCGGAAGGACTTTCTTGGCGTTGGCCAGACTGCGTACCGTCTCCCGCACCGCGTAGCCAGCCGCCACCAGCTGCTGCACACAGTGCGACCCGATGAAGCCGGAGGCGCCGGTCACCAGCACCCCTGCCAAACAAATTACCGAAAAATATTAATGTTTTTCTTACAAAATTATACAGCCCATTTGCATGAAAAAAGGGACATGCCGAAAATGAAAAAATTACAAGTGAACAACTGAGTGTCTTACGCTTTTTATCCAGAGCCTTGTGTATTTCCGAAAGCTTTGTCGCCTCCCAATCCTTGCCAACCTCTTCCGTGGCAAAAGTAAATTCAAATCCGTGTTGTGCGTAATGCGAAGTAAGTGCCCTGTTGACCACAAAACACAGCGGATAATTTTAGCAATCAATTAACATTTTACCTAATAATTTATGAATTTCTTTGATCGATTCCAGAAATTTGTGTTATAAAATTTCTTATTCAATTTATGCGAGTGCGCCGCGTGGAGCCACTGTACTACGCGCTTTTCTGAATTCGAAAATTTTCTCAGCTTCGTTAATTGGCAACTCAGTATTGCTTTTAACATTGCATCTAACAATTGTAAGCAAAATAACACGCACTT